AAAGTTGATTGGCCTGTAACCCATAATTAGTGACAAAAATCCGACATCCAAAAGTGTCATTTATTAAAATTAGCAAAACTACTACACACTTAGAAAAAACTTTCAAAATATTACCCAAAATTTGAAATCAATGGTCAAGACTATTCAATACTTGGCCCTACAATAACAAGCTTAAATGCACACCATTAATAAAAAATTCATGGTAATTTTCTAGGACTTAATCTGGTTCCGATCTAAAAAAATATGGTTCTCTAGACTAAACCAAAAATTAGTGGTTACGTGTTGAAGGAAAACTCTACTTACCATGAAAGGAAATGTGTAGTTAAGATCCAATTAGTGTTATGGGGTTCATCTACACAATGAATTTGAGCCATACATAAATATTTCAGGGCAAAATTTTGAGTATATAGTATTATTGTGTACCAAAAATCTCAACTTTTATCTTATTTTTTAAAAAAAATTTAGAAAATTTGCACAAGTTTATTTCTAATAACTAACATATGACAAATCATGATACTTATGAAATGAAATATGTAAGTGACATAGTTAACTCAAATAAGCATCAACTCAACATGAGAGAGACATTTATTGTTGGAGATTCATTACAAAAAATGAGACTAATCCCATAATTGTATCTACATGATTTTAGCATTTTTGTTTTTAAAATCTAAACAAATTATTTTCAATATGAACTTTTCTTTTTTTTTTGATGATTTATACACAAGAACTTAAAATATCAACCAATTAAATTATCGAAACGTGACTCATGACGAACCTATGAGCCTAGACTAGATTACCCAGTCCTGAAACAAGTTAAATCTTTTTTAAATGTGTTGTGAAAATTAACCAAAGTATAGGAGAGAGAAAAAAAAAACTCAAAAAGTTTATTTAAAATTTAAAATTCAAAATTCAAATCAAAATCTAAGGTAGTTATATAGTGGCGGTTAAGCTTCATATTGTTAACTTTCTAACTATTATTGGATTTTAAAAATCTTACGTTTATACACCTGAAACATATGGTTCATATTCAATTTTTTGTATAGTGAGACTGATACTTGAAATGAATCTCTACCCCCCATGATTATTTTCTAGGTATTTTTTTAGTCAACCTAGGATTGCTGTTTGTTGTGTGGTGTGCTCATTCGTCTTTCAGTCCTCCCCGTTCATGTCGTGCAATTACTCAATTAGAGTTTGGAAATAAGGGACTGTTCTGTTTAATGTTAGATTCCAAGTAGTTGGATTGTCCTATTCCTTAATAGTATCACTTTTGTTCACTTCTTAAAAAAAAACTCAAAAAGTTTATTTAAAATTTAAAATTCAAAATTCAAATCAAAATCTAAGGTAGTTATATAGTGGCGATTAAGCTTCATATTGTTAACTTTCTAACTATTATTGGATTTTAAAAATCTTACGTTTATACACTTGAAACATATGGTTCATATTCAATTTTTTGTATAGTGGGACTAATACTTGAAATGAATCTCTACCCCCCTGATTATTTTCTAGGTATTTTTTTAGTCAACCTAGGATTGCTGTTTGTTGTGTGGTGTGCTCATTCGTCTTTCAGTCCTCCCCGTTCATGTCGTGCAATTACTCAATTAGAGTTTGGAAATAAGGGACTGTTCTGTTTAATGTTAGATTCCAAGTAGTTGGATTGTCCTATTCCTTAATAGTATCACTTTTGTTCACTTCTTTTGATAATTCATATGGTGCAATGTACAATTACATTGTTAAAGTTATTGTGATCGTTTATATAAAAAAAAATAAAAAAAATGTTTGTTCCAGGGATATTAAGATGTTTTATATAGTGATTTAATGTACGGAATTTAACTATAACTTTTAATTGTATTTCGGATGTTTAAACAACAAAAAAATTGTGTAATAATTTATTTAACTAAGTAGGACTATTTTTTTCCCATACATTATCAAAAATTACATTGAACCGATTTACAACTTATTATAATTATTTTAAGTTAATAATATAAAAATATATAATTGCAAATGTTAACTTATAAGTAATAACAAACAATCTGGAATAATTCAGTTTATGTTTTCAAGAAATCTCAAAATCTCAAATTATCTTCACGACCAATTATAGTTGTCTATCTCATGCCTTTTCTGATATGGGCATATGACAATTGGCTTTTCCAATTGGTGTGCACCATAAATTTAATAAATAAAATTTAATAGCATACTTTAACACCAAAGTCGTTGTAGTATAGTGGTAAGTGTTCCCGCCTGTCACGCGGGTGACCCGGGTTCGATCCCCGGCAACGGCGTTCTTTTTCTTTAACTCTGTTTTGCTCAAAAATCTTTTGACCTTTCGAGTTTTTTCCTCCGGCCATCTATTTAACGACCAACCAAGGATCAACATGTGGCAAACATCATTTTTAAGAAAAAGGCCGCCGCAAGTTTTCACCAAAAAAAAAGAAAGGCTCATTATTTTCATATTCCTTGTCTTCAAACTAATTGATGTTCCTTTTGCCAAACTATTACTAAAAAATTAATAACTAAACGAAACAAAGCATGTGGAATAGTTAAGCAAATGAGATTATTTTACTCAAAATACAAAGTTCAATTATTTGTGTTGTTGGTCATGTTCGGTGCAATTTAAATAATTATACATAGTAGATTGGATTGAGAGATTATACATCACTATAGTGATGGTAGATTGGGTTGGTTTGGGTGGTATTCCATCCGTCATCTGTTTAAAATTAGATGGATTAAAAAAAAAATCAATCTGGATCCATTTACTAGTTTGACAGATGCAGATTAAGCAGACCGTACGGGTTAGTGGATAGATGTGATCAGTCTGACAATGAACTTTACAAATTTTGAATTTTTTTTTTTTAAGTTATCAGTTATAACTTTTACTATCTCTAATAACTAGTAATCTGAAAAAATATGTATTGTTTGTCTATAATAGGTCATAGCACCACACATGTATATTTTTAGAGTGATGTTGCATGTACTAATTAATATATTAACTAGTGTAGTGACACTAGTTATGTCCTTATTATTGACCCCACTCATTATATAAATTACAAATACTAAAAACATCTTAAATTATGCGACATTATCAATTGGTACACTAATTGGTGTATATAGCATTACTCATATTTTTAAGATATTGTTTTACAAAAATATATATTTTATTATTTCTATTCTAAATTGTTACTTGTTAGCATTTTTTTTTTTTTAAACTTCATTCACGGGTAGATCGGGTTCATGAGGATGCGGGATGGTTGATCTGCCATCCGAACTGTATACGTAGATTTTGAAGTATTTCATCCCCATCCCTTTGCCGAAATACACGCATCCGTCTAAAGTCAATCGGATTTGATCGATTCAATTGGGTTAGATAGATTCATGATCACCCCTATGTATCACTGTGCTATAGTTTTTATAATTTTTTGCTTCCTTTTTTTTTTTTTAAACTTCATTCACGGGTAGATCGGGTTCATGAGGATGCGGGATGGTTGATCTGCCATCCGAACTGTATCCGTAGATTTTGAAATATTTCATCCCCATTCCTTTGCCGAAATACACGCATTCGTCTAAAGTCAATCGGATTTGATCGATTCAATTGGGTTAGATAGATTCATGATCACCCCTATGTATCACTGTGCTATAGTTTTTATAATTTTTTGCTTCCAAGATATGCGCCAAAATAACTTAAATAAATTAACAAAAAATGATTATCTTGACGATGGGGTTTTAAATATTAGAACCACTAAAATATAAATAACCCTCCTCAGCATCTTCATTGCTTGTGGGAGCTTAGATCACAAGGAATTAGAAAGTTGGCTGGTTGTACAGTTAAATGAAAATTAAGTTTATAATTGACGATAAGAAAACATATAAGATGCTGAAGTTATTGACTGGTTCAATGAAAGAGAATATGAACTAAACAATGCGTTCCTAGCGTCAAATGCCAAAATAACAATTATATACTTTCTCTTCCATGACTGCGCAGACTTGATTTCCAACAGAAGAAATGACCCAGTTTGATTAGAATGCTATGGTGGGGTATATGAATACCATATGACGAGTGATGAATCATCATGTTACACGAGGAAGGCTTGTTTCAAGACATTCAATGTGTTTATTAAAAGTCTTCACAGAACCCAGCATGATCTCATTCCGATTGATTGTAAGGGTGAGATAATACAATTCACACAACAATCTAAACCCCTAATTCGACTAAATCTGTAGATCACTCTAAAGTTCTTCGAAGGGAGAACGAAAATAGAGTCAGACTTCAAATGGAATCCAAATGTGAGAGAGCGTAATTAGATTCCAGTTGATTGAAGAGAAACTGCAAGAAACAATATGAAACAAAAGCCTAAAAAATTAGCTTAAAAACAGAAATTTTCTAAGCCCTCAAATAATATTGCATATAGTTTAGAAGACACTGTCGTATTCTGTAATAATCCATTTTTTAACTAGCCAATGTAAGATGAGATGATTACATACAGAAAGGATTAGTTGGGATAGTGTTTTGACTCGTTAATTACCTGCTATATGTGGTATGAGATGATTACATATGCCTAGACTATTAATCGAGGCAAAGTCCCCATACACCCTGTTATTTTTTTTTCTTTTCTTTGGGCAAGTAAAAATTTATTGAAAGATTTGCAAAATAGTACACAGCATGAAGGGGCATACCCCTAAGGAAAAGAAAACCTATCAAGAGAAATGGCTGACAGAAACAAGGTAACATCCAAACTAGCTCATACATGCTACATCATATTTAATGACAGCTCTCAGGAATGAAACAAAAGCAACAGCAACAGAAACAGCTTGCAGCAGCTGAAACACAACCTGTGGGACATTAATCCATTACAATAACTGATAGCCAAGTCCTCTTAAGAGTTCACTATCTTAGCATAAGCTTTAGTATTTTTGTTAGTTTTATGCATATTATTTGCCAATTTAGTTGGCTATTTTTAACTTGCCTCCAAGAATGAGCTCTGGCTCTCACATCATTCTCAATTGTCTTGATCATAACATCCACATCCTTCTATAATAAACCTTTTCTCCCAGCTAGATTACATTTCTCTAGTTTACAGACAAGTTCATATCAATTAAAGGTTCCAAATTCATGACTGCTCAAGCAGGCTCATCATTGATCAATACATCCTCTAAGGAATCCAATGAAAATGAAAATTAATGCACAATAAAACCAAGTTGACCCATACCTATTGAAGCTCACACACTTCCTTTACCATTCTCAGTTATAGAATTATAGTTCACAGAATGAGCAATGCCTACACAAATCCACTATGATCAATTACACAAACAATTTAACAACGACACCACATTAATTTTCCCGGTAAGCAATGTAATTCGCCAGAGCAATTAACGGTGCCGCCTTCCCCTGATCGAACCCAGAAAGCTGTTCCTTCGCCTCATCATTCAATTTCTCCGCAAACTCTCTCGATTTCTCAATACCAATCAATTTTGGGTAAGTTACCTTATCAGCCACCAAATCTTTCCCGGCAGTCTTCCCCAATTCTTGCGAGGACTTAGTAACATCGAGTATGTCATCCACAACCTGAAACAACAACCCAATACATCTCGCAAACTTTCTCAGCTTCTCAACTTGTCCATCAGACCCACCTCCCAAAATCGCCCCAAGAACCACAGACCCCTCCAATAAAGCCGCGGTCTTGTGGCGATGAATGAATTCAAGGTGTTCTAACCCAACATCAGAAATTCCTTCAGAACTTATATCAACCACTTGGCCAGCAACTAGCCCTTCTGCTCCGATCGATTTCGCCAATTCACCGATCACTCGAACGATTTTCTCAGAAGACACATCTTTCGTAGCTGTTGCGATGTGCTCGAACGCGAATGCGAGAAGAGCATCGCCGGCCAAAACGGCGACGTCCTCGCCGAAGACCTTGTGGTTTGTGGGTTTTCCGCGGCGGAGATCGTCGTTGTCCATGCAAGGGAGGTCGTCGTGCATGAGAGACATGGTGTGGATCATCTCCACCGCGCACGCCGCCGGCATCGCCATGGACTGGTGGCCGCCGACGAGCTCGCAGGCGGCGATGCAGAGGACAGGGCGGATCCGCTTGCCGCCGGCGAGGAGGGAGTAGCGCATGGACTCGTGGATTTTGAGTGGGTCCCGAAGCGAAACTGCCGCTTCTATGGCTTGGTTCACCGAATTGGCCCTTTCGACCATGTAGGCCTTGAAATTGAAGGGTGTGGGTAAGGATTCCACATGGGTTTGTTTGTCTTCTTCTTTCCCTTTCTTGGTGAGAATTGCAGAGATGGAGAGAGAAGGATGAGATATGATGATGGGTCGTCGTGTTGTTGGGCACTGAAACAGGAGAGGAATAGGGTTTTCCTTCAGAGGATGGAGGAACTTGGATTGTGTAGATCTGGATTTAGTTGATAGGCCATAGATGGAATGGGATTGAACCCATGTCGAGCTCAGATTCACAAGACTCATTATTATCCCCTCTCGAATTTATACACAAATTGAATTTTGCTAGAGAGAGAGAGTGATACAGAAGGTTTGAAGTGAAGGTTTTTTAGAGCATTTCTCAAATTGCTATAACCTCCACTATGAAGTGCCTGTTATCAGAGATGACCCAAGCAGATATCAATCACCAGATTCATAAGATGAGGAGTACAAAGAGTATTTCTGTATGTTTGGTGAGTGAGAAAATGAGAGAGCTATATATATATATATACATGAGCAAATGATTTAATATTGCGGTGGTTTTTCCTTCGGTTACAAATTTTTTTATTTTAAAATAAAAAAATATTATTTAAAAGTGTTAATGTGTACTTAGCTTAAGTGGTATGAGTCCTCGTACTTAAATCCATGGTCATAAGTTAGGTTCAAGCCTTGCCCATCTCTTTGTTTAACCTTTTTTTTTTTAAAAATAAAAAATACTGCCACATCACATGAGAAGAGTAAAACTTCAGGACACCATAAGAGTTTGTGTTCACTTTATAATAGTATAGATAGATATATGTAGACAGAGCATGTGTTGTGATTCTGAAGAGTTGAGAAGTAAGTTAAAACTTTATTTTTTAATTTTTATTAATTTTTATATATTTTTAAAAAAGTATAAAAAAATATAGAAAAATGTGTAATTTTAAAAAATTAAAAAATTAACTTTTATTCTAAGAATTATGTTAGGAACCATATGTGTGGATCTCATACATTTATATAAGAGATTTAATAATTTATTTAAAATACATAACATTTTTCTTAATCTAAATGACAAAATAAGTGGTGGTGAGCATTGGAATATCAACAACTATCATTTATTGCTCTGTTTAAAGCCTACTTTAAATTTGTCAGTCCCGTTTTGTAACTCGAATTTCATTTAGCTCGAGTGGTCCGATTGTCCAAAACGACGTCGTTTTGGGCAATTTTTTTTTTTTAAAACTCCCTGCAGATGAAGAGGAAGAAGAAGAAGAGGAAGGAGGAGGAGGAGAGAAGAGGAGCTGAGAGCATATCATATTGTTGGCTTAGTTTTTCTACGAATGAAAATATCATAAATACGAGCGTGCCAGCAAGGATTGAAAAATCTATATAGATTAAATTCAAGCCAATTATCAAGCGATTGCGTTGACGGTTCTTTTGCCTCAACAAAGAGGACTTCAAAATTGCTAAGTGTAGAGAAAAGAAAAATTAAAAGAAGAATGAGGGAGACAGAGAAAGACGATTGAGTGAACAATCAAAGTAATCATTACTTACCTCTACTCTTATGCTTCGAAAAGGAAGTGCATAAAATGTTTCGAACAGAAAAGTGCGGAAAATAAATACTTCGAAGTATAAACATATATTAAACTACTCCTAAGATAAGAAAAATGACAAGAAATATTGAAATCAATTGTCTTTGATTTGAATTCTGGATCATTTACAATGTAGTCATGAATGGCTATTTATAGACAAATATTTGTAGAAAAAAACTTCTAGCAATAACTACCTAATAACCACCTAAAACTACCCACTCTTCCATCTTCGTTCCCATAATGCCACATAACCCTCCATGCCTTCATAACTTCTCATAACCTCCAAATGAGTAGGAGGATGCCACATGCCCTGCAATTATATAAATAATAAATAATAATAAAAATTACAGATTTATGGTGCTAACATTACCTCCCGCAGCCCTTAAAAATGATGTTTATTTGAAGGGCCGAACCAAGCACATGACTAATCTAAGCAACAAAGTGCTTCGAATAATATAATAGCACCAATAAACTGCTTCGAATGAGCATGAAATTATGACTAGATGTTGCGAATTATATATATACGCATTGAAGAGATTTTATTGCAGAAAAGTTTCGAAGGATAACCACATATTTTCAAGACAAAGCCAATGATTCACCTTAGCAAACTGTTACACATGCTAAATAACCAGCTTCGAAGGTGGTATAGAGGACTAAAATTATCATTCGAAGGTCGAAAATGCCAACAAAGGACGAATTACATCATTGGAAATACTCGGCAAAGCTTCGAAGGTTCACAACTATCACTATTTTTTCTTCGAAGCTGTTGTTGATGCAAGATGGAGTGCTTCGAAGCTTACAAAATTATGGCAAAAGGGCTTTCGAAGCAACTTTTGACCAACATTGTGGTTATTCAAGACACCAAAACCGTTGTTCTTCGAACCAACTTTTATAGAATACTAGTTACATTTTCATGTAACAAATGACTATAAAAATGGTTATCAGTAAAGCCACTAATTATCATACCAAAAATAGGCATTATTCGATAATTAATTAATTGTCATTTTACATATATTTGAAGGGAGGTACACATTTCGAAAGCTTTCTTGTCCCATGTTACATTTCGAAGGTGTTTATTGATGACCAAAACCACCCCTCGAAAGTCACATATGTTACTAAAGGATTAAAGTCGTCTTTCGAAAGTGCCCACGACATCTCTTCGAACTAAATCCAAAGAGTTGGACTATTATGAAATTAGTTTGGCATTTTAACTAGCCATTAATGACTATAAAATGATATTTCAATGAATAATTTACTTCGAAGTGTCTTGAGACATACTTCGAAGGTAACCACAAAACCAAATGGTGATGGTTTTATAGATCAACTAATAACAACATTTTTGGCTCAATATATTGCAATAACGAAATATTATTTGCTAGCCATTCCATCAAAGTCAACGTTTGATGTGATCCACATATCCAAAATGGATTTCGAACAACAAAAGTCCTGGTATAGTGTGACCATGAAAATTCATACTTTTTGACATTTTGAAAAATGTCAAAAAATTTGAATTCATGAACAGTGGCTTGTTCATTATTTTTTACCATGTTTGTTTTAAAAGCATGACTTTTGCTAAATAATTTTCATAATTATTTGGAAAAGTGGGTCGTTTTTCCATGTTAGCCATTAATGGCTTATGAAAATCACCCATAGATATGTTATTTTCATGACTTGACTCTCTAAAAATTAGTTTTGAGACCCCCCGAGCCATGCATGGAACATCATTCTTAGCCAAATTTGGCTCAAAAATACGCTCTTTCGTTATGTTAATTTCATAATTTGGCTCTTTAAAAACGAACTCTTGAACCCCCCGAGCCATCGATGAAATCAACTCTTTGCTTTTGCTATTTTTAACCATGGAAAAATTCTGAAAAAATTCACCAATTCCGGCCATTAAGGCCTCAGTTAAAGACTTGGTAGTGAGAGTTGATAACTCATCATTCCATTGGCGAATTTCCATTTCAAGTTGATGAATTTCTCCAATTAAATGGTATCTTTTTTCTTCCACCAAATAATATTGTAAGGGATGAAAATTTATTTCATCAAGAAAATGGATCTCTTCTTGAAGATCCAAAATTTCTTGTTTACGCCAATAAATTTCATCTAGGCTATTTGAAATGGATAAATCCAATTCATTTTTCATTTATTACACTTGACGTCCCACCGGGCGTGTCAAAAATTGTTAGCTTATTTTTCCTACGAAGGAAAATATCATAAATACGAGCGTGCCAGCAAGGATTGAAAAATCCCTACAGATTAAATTTAAGTCAATTATCAAACGATTACATTGACAGTTCTTTTGCCTCAACAAAGAGGACTTCCAAATTGCCAAATGTAGAGAAAAGAAAAATTAAAAGAAGAATGAGGGAGACGGAGAAAGACGATTGAGTGAACAATCAAAGTAATCATTACTTACCTCTACTCCTATGCTTCGAAAAGGAAGTGCATAAAATGCTTCGAAAAGAAAGTGCTGAAAATAAATACTTTGAAGTATAAACCTATGTTAAACTACTCTTAAGATAAGGAAAATGACAAGAAATATTGAAATCAATTGTCTTTGATTTGAATTCTGGATCATTTACAATGTAGCCATGAATGACTATTTATAGACAAATATTTGTAGGAAAAAACTTCCAGCAATAACTACCCAATAACTTAAAACTACCCACTCTTCCATCTTCATTCCCATAATGCCACATAACCTTCCATGCCTTCATAACTTCTCATAACCTCCGAATGAGTAGGAGGATGCCACATGTCCTGCAATTATATAATAATAAATAATAATAAAAATTACAGATTTATGGTGCTAACACATATCATCATCAACAACATATCATCAACAACAACAACAAACAGAACAGAGAGAGGGAGAGATAGATCAACACATCATCATCATCTTCGTCAGTACATCAACATCAAATTTTACTGGGAATGCTCTTCATCAAAACCACTCATGCAAATGGTGTCATCAACAACAAATTTTTTATCACCCATCAACAACACATTTATCACCCACATCCAGACCCAATTGATCTGTTGCTAACACCATCTTTATCAAAACATGCTATTTCTACAAATTCCCCCCCTTCATATTCAGATCTAGATACACTAGAAAAAAAAAAAAAATCAACGTCTTCATCAACATCATTTTCAGATCCAGATTCACTAGGAAAAAAAAAAGAAAAAGAAAAAGAAAAAAAGTAGAGTTTTGATCGGCGATCAGCAATCACTGCCATCACCACTGATCTTCCTCCTCCGCCATCACCATCTCCATCTTTTCCCCTTCTCTCTTCTTCTTCTCTCCTCTCTCTCTCTCTCTCTTGCCTCCTCTCTTCCTTTTCTTTTCTTCTCCTCCTCTCTTTCTCTTTTCTCATTCTCTCTCTCTTTTCTGTCTCTCTGTATTCGAAAAGCAAGAAAAAGAAGAAGAAAAAAAAAATCGATTTTGGGTTTTGAGCCAATTCGAGCCACCAAATTTCGAGCTACCAAGGATTATTCTAAATTGCTTTTACATTGTTTTTAAAAACCGGATGGAACTGGTCAATTCAACAGAAAACCGGAGTTAGATCCGGTTCAGACATTCACATAAACCGTTGTGTAAAGAACTAACAAAATCGTTTGAACTCCTTGGGCATAGGTTTAATAATAATAATAATAATAATAATAATAAGGTTTTTGTATTTGGTGATGAGTGTTAATATTCTAAAAAAGTTTAAATTCTTTCGAGTTGAATATGAAAGACCAATTGGATTTAGTGAACCTATTTTAAAACTAATTTGGTAATCTCACTCTCTCCTATATGTTTGTCTTTTTTATTTTTAATTTTTTACCTTTCAATAATCTTTTAGATTTAGGTATAAATTTTAATATATTTATAATATTACGGCTCGATTATAATTGACCCAATAGTTGTTCTATTTTTTTTTTTTCAATGGCAATGTTATTGAAACACAGTTTAATATCAAGATTAGTGTGTGAAACCCTAGCTCGTCTCTCTCCTTTACTTTCTCTTTGAAATATGCTTTTTGAGGGAGAGGGCGGGGGTTCTAACCTTCATCTCCCCTCCATTTCTTTTTCAATGTTTTCTCCATTGCTATCTTGTTTTTAGAGCTAATTTTTATTTTTTTTCATCATTATGTTAGTTGTTACTCTTTCTATTTCCATTATCAGTTTATTATCAAAGAAGCTTTCAAATTTAAATTCATATTTAACTTGTGATTGGCATTCGATATTACTAAATGCATTTTTATATATTATGTAACAATTTCAAATTTAAAATAATTTATTATGTAACGTAAAGATAAGAATTACAACACGATAATTATACGCCTCCATCGGTAAAGCTTTCTTCTATTCGTGAAGAAAAACTCAAAGCTACCAGAGCGAAAAACTTAGCCTCCGTTTGGCAAGTTGGTTTATGGACTTTTTTGGTTATTTTAGTCACAAAAAGATAAAATAGGCTATTTTAGCCACAACAAACATAACATCACATCCAACTCATAATCATTACACTTTTCTCTCACAAAAAAAGTCAAAAAAACAAAAAAATCATTCCCAAATCAAACTTTTTAATCCAAACTAAAATAGTTAAAAAAATTAAAAAAACAAGAAACCAACCCCGTTCGCAAACAAAGCCTTAAAATCACATATCACGTGGTTATACTTTAGCTTGGTTGATTTTGCTACTCTCGCTGTTTCTTAATAGCTCGTGAGTCATGCTTGATGAAGTGGGCCACATATAATCCGCCTCAGCGTGTTTGTCCTTGTTGAATTTGAAGTCCAAATGTCTTGCCTTTTCATTTATTTATTTATTTATGGGGCATATTAGTGTAAGTTTTAATTTAACAACTTATACTTTATTAAATTTTAATTAAAATTTTTTTTATCTTTAAATCTCATTAAATTTTAAATAGTTGTTGATTTTGCTACTCTCGCTGTTTCTTAATAGCTCGTGAGTCATGCTTGATGAAGTGGGCCACATATAATCCGCCTCAGCGTGTTTGTCCTTGTTGAATTTGAAGTCCAAATGTCTTGTCTTTTCATTTATTTATTTATTTATGGGGCATATTAGTATAAGTTTTAATTTAACAACTTATACTCTATTAAATTTTAATTAATTTTTTTTTATTTTTAAATCTTATTAAATTTTAAATAGTTAAAATTACCTTTCAAATAATAATTGTTCATCATTTATAAAGGAACATAATAATTTAACGTTTATTTTGATTTTTAAAAACTTTAAAACATTAACTTTTATATTCAAAATTTTTTTAAAAATTATATGAAAAAAAAACTAATCAGCGTGTTTGATTTCAGTTTTTTGAATTCAGTTTTCTAAAAAATGAATTTTTTATTTTTTGTTTTTATTGAATATTTTTTAAATTTTAAGCAATTTTTATTTTTTTAGATGCACTTTACTTAAATGTATCTAAATAGTAAAATATTTGTGAAAAAATATTTTAAAAAATTAATAAATTCATAAAATACAAAAAAATGTACTAAATTTCATATTTTTTTTTTACTTTTTGGTATTTAGTGTATTTTTTAAAGATTTTTTTTTCACAAATATTATACTTTTTAAGTGTATTTATGTTAGGTGTGTCTAAAAATTAAAAAAAAAATTGCTTAAAACATTAAAAAAATTCATTGAAAACATTAAAATACGAAAAATAAAAAAGTACAATTTTCTAAAAACCGTTTTCTGGAAACCATAACCAAACAAAGTTATGTTTTTTTAAAAAAAAAAAAAATTAAAAAACCTGAATTATTTTTTGGGCAAAATTAAAAATTTTGTGTTTATAAAGAAGCATAATGATGGAATATTGATGTGGAAAACTGGAAAAAAAAATTAAAATGAAAAAATTGATAATATTCTCAGTTTTAAAACTGAAAAAAATTAATAATGTTTTCCGCTATATTAAATAGTTGAATCAAACCAATAAGTAGAAAGACAAAAACGTTTAATCTCATGCTCTTTTTTTATATCAGTTAGTGAAATAATTTTCTAGAACATTACTATGAAAAATTAATAATGTTATTAGTTTTATAAATTGGAAAAAATTGATAATATTCTTAAGTTTACTAAATAAGACTTATTGATTCAAAAAATCTTAGATAAAACTTGAGCTACTATAATATTTGTAAATAAGACTTTTACACAATTAACTCTTTATTTATTGAAGCACTTGATATTAATTGAAAAATTTAGTCAAAATTCTTCTATTAACAATTATTTAATAAAAAGAAGAATTTAATTTATTTTACTTCATAAACCTTTTAAAAATGTTATGTATATATATTTTTGGTTGATTCATCTATTTGTAATGTGTTTTTTATAACATTAAAATGTTATTGTGAAACAAAATAACATGATAACATGTTACTGTTTACGTTAATTTCAACCATATATATATATATATATATATTTTTAAAAATTTCATAGTCAACATAAATCTTGTTTAATAGATCTTAATGAGAGAATTTTAAAAATATTAATTTTATTAAAAATCAACATTTAAATCAAAAGTTATATTATTTAAAATTTTAAAATATTAAATTATTACGGAGTATAATTTTAGAAAAATTTAGCCAAAATTCCTCCATTAGACCCTTGTTTGGTGAAAAGAACAATCCTACTTATTTTGCTTTATAAACCTCCTAAGGAGAAGACACATAATTAAACAAGGATAGCATAAATTTCTCTTTAGACAACACTGCCAGAGTAAAATGTTACTGAACCAGAGTAACATGTTGCTATCAAACATAATAACATGTTACTGTTTATATCAATTTCAACATTAATTTTTTTTTTTAATAAAAAATTTCATTGTCAACATAAATTTTATTTGATAAATCTTGATTAGAGAATTTTAAAAATACTAATTTTATTAAAAATCAACATTTAAATCAAAAGTTATATTATTTAAAATTTTAAAATATTAAATTATTACAGAGTATAATTTTAGAAAAATTTAGCCAAAATTCCTCCATTAGACCCTTGTTTGGTGAAAAGAACAATCCTACTTATTTTGCTTTATAAACCTCCTAAGGAGAAGACACATAATTAAACAAGGATAGCATAAATTTCTCTTTAGACAACACTGCCAGAGTAAAATGTTACTGAACCAGAGTAACATGTTGCTATCAAACATAATAACATGTTACTGTTTATATCAATTTCAACATTAATTTTTTTTTTTAATAAAAAATTTCATTGTCAACATAAATTTTATTTGATAAATCTTGATTAGAGAATTTTAAAAATACTAATTTTATTAAAAACTGATATCTACACAAAAAATTATATTATTTTAAATTTAATATTTTAATAATAATGATATGGATTAGACTTTTTAAGAAATTTTTTTTATGCTCATCCTTAATCCATTAAAATTTTATTATAAAGAGATTCTGACTAAATTTCCGTATATTTTAACAATAGTGTTGAACTTTTTAATAAAAACTTTTTGTGATTATTCTTAATGCATTAAAGTTTTATTATGAAATTTTTTTAATTAAATTCCTTATTAAATTGGTACTTTAGAATCCGCAGAAAATATGAAAATTAGTGTGAAGAAAAAGGCTTAAATGTATCGAGTTGGGATGTGTTATGGCTATATGCCTACTCTTAAAATAGTCATACCAGGACCGCTGCAAGCATTCGTTGCCTCGCTGCTGTTTCCTTCTCAACATCCTACCAACATATTCCAACGTTCTTTTTTTTTTTTTTTTTTTTTTTTTTTTTTGAACAACCAGCAATTCATATGAAAAAAAAATTCTGATTCATGCAGGGCATATGAAAGATCTACAGATAACAACTGGTACAGTTAAATTTTGACCTGACCGACTGCATCTATCGTAAGCAACATTTCTGGAGGGGAAAACTGTCTAAATCCCTCCCTTTTGTTTCCAAAAATAACGACAAAACAAGCCTAACTACCTCAACGTCAGTGAAGTACTCTCTCCAAATGGAAGGTTTTACTTGCTGTATAGGTATATGAAGCTGAAGATGAAAAACCCGGCCATCTGAACCATTAAATTATTTGTGTAAGTACATATTCATTAAGAATCAGACACCAATAAGAAGAGAAAGACAGAAAGGGTATACCGTAGAAAATGAAGCTCCATAATAAGGGAAAGCAGTCGTTATAAATCTTTCATATTCGTTGTGTCTGAAGGGCCGTACTGGAATCTGCAATTCAAAATTCACAATACTTTACAGAAGTGACTCTTCCCAATGTGAGCATTCAACAAGGCAGTCATTATATACAGCACTAATCTACATGCTTCTGTCAGCAAAAAGAACCAGAGAGTTAGACATTACTCATATGTACTTCCTTTTATATGGTTGGTCACAGCAAACCATATGCAAAATGTCTTTTTATTTATAGGTAGATGAAGAAATAAGTTTCTTTAATTTATAAAACCGATACTCCTTCATGAGCATTAGGATACTCCAGCATGAGTAAAAGCATTTTCCAATAGCTGCAAAAACCTGATAGCGTCACATAATTACATATCAAACCAAATTTAAATCAATCCAGAAGAACAACCATCTGAGCGATTTGAACCAAAATGCCTACTTAAGCAGGAAGAAGGATTAACCTGGTAAGCTTACCTGTTTTGCAAGAGATAAGCTAGTGTATCCAAGCCTGTGATACTCAACCTTGAACTGGAAAACCCCATAGACATCTGGCACCTTAAACGAAGTATAGTACAGCCCCTGCAATATCAGGAATATTTATGTGTATATGAAATGAGATGTTAATAAAACATAAGATTTTAAGATAACATGCAGTGGTGGCCTTGGTAACTACATTTTGATTGGTTGATAAGGTTTTCAACACATAAGGGCTCATCATGTAGAACTGCACTTGAACATCATTAGACACGTATGGTTCCCAATTTGTTCCAGACCACTCAAAAATCTCAACAGAGTATTCCTGCAAAATATTCACATTTGTAAGAATGTGGCGACAAAACTTCCATTATTTGTAATTTAATCTCACAGCAACCAAATCTTGACATAATGAATAAGAGGTGGCATTACCAGGTCATCATTAATCCTATAAATTGCAGGCTCATCTGTTTCCCCAACTTTGTGATGTCTGACATTAACAGCCTGAAGATCAAGAATACAAGTTAATACTACACACCAACAGAGGGTGCAATACATCATAATCATGTGGAAGTTTGAAAAATCTTATGAGAACGTCCTTTTCTAGTAGCATTTTTATCCCTTAAAGCTTTAAGTCTTAACTTGGCCAAAGTTGATAAAATATACAGTCGTAATCAGATACAAAGATAACCAGATATCAGGCAAGTTTGTTCCTCACCTTCAGATGACCCCTTTCATGGAAGACCCATTTGCTAAGTTCAGTCACAAACTGCTCATTACCCGATTTTTCGTACCTGTCACAATTTACATTTACATCAGATTCTTTGGTCTTCAGCAAAACACCGTTAAATCTATAAACTATTTCCAATAACAAATAGATAAAAACAAGGACATATGGAAGGCTTGGAAGCTAAAAAATTTTGGGAGGCTTCAGACATCCCTAGTTCTGTTCTAGCCTCTTTCTCAGTTGACCTTATCAGCTGGGTTAATTCCAATTGTTCATCCCACTGTCATAATCTTTCAACAGTACCCTGGTCTATCCTTTTCCCCATCTCTTGTTGGTACATATGGAAGAACAGAAGCACTTGCACTTTTGACCCAAACCACCCTCCTTTACTCACTCCTTCTAGGGCGGTAGCTCAGACTGTTGAATGGCAGTTCATAGCCAACCACTGTCCCAACAAAACCCAAACTCCTCCCATTACTGTTAGCTGGACAACCCCTAGTTTGGGCTCCTTCAAGCTCAACACGGACGGAGCATCTAAAGGGAATCCAGGACAGGCCTTTGCTGGTTGTTTAATTCAAGATCATATGGGCCGATGGATTTGTGGTTTTACTAGAAACATTGGTATTTGCTCAAGCATCATGGCTGAGTTTTGGGCCATGAGGGATGGGCTCAAGTTAGCCCTTGACAACAACATAATGAATTTGGAAGCGGAAACTGATGCAGTGCTCTTAAAACAACTCATTTCTGGGTCTAACACAGAAAATTACCACCTCACAAATTTTATAATTGACTGCAGGTACCTGTTGAGAAGGTAGGGTGTGGTGACTTTTCATCATATCTACAGAGAAGCCAATAGCTGTGCAGATATTCTAGCAAATCAAAGAGTGTTCTTTGCTTAAAGTTTTGGTGTGGTGACTTTTCATCATATCTACAGAGAAGCCAATAGCTGTGCGGATATTCTAACAAATCAAAGAGTGTTTAGTTTTCGTGTATTCTCCCCCACTTTTTTTATTTCCATCCAACTAGCAGATGATGCTAGAGGAGTCCTAGTCCTAGTCCTAGAATGTTCTATATATTGCACCCCCCTGTATTTCCATCCAACTAGCAGATGATGCTAGAGGAGTCCCAGAATGTTGTAGTAACTAAAAAAAAAAAAAAAAAAAAAAGAAAAAAAGAAAAAACGACACATAATTTGACTTACGAAAATATATATATAGATATCTCATCCCATTAATCCAAAACAAAGAAATAATTCCCCTTGAGTTATATTTTGAAAAAATAAAATCATCCTTCTTCCTTAACAATACCCAGTTTTCTGTAGAAATTTCCTAAACCATTGATGAATAAGTTTGGGGGTCTTTCATGTGAAACCCTCCACAATTATGAAGGATCATAGAACTCTTTTAAAACAGCTTATTATGAAGGATCATAGAACTCTTTTAAAACAGCTTATTATGAAGGATCATAGAACTCTTTTAAAACAGCTTATTATGAAGGATCATAGAACTCTTTTAAAACAGCTTATTATGAAGGATCATAGAACTCTTTTAAAACAGCTTATTATGAAGGATCATAGAACTCTTTTAAAACAGCTTATTATGAAGGATCATAGAACTCTTTTAAAAAAGCATAAATCCACTATCCACATTGACACTTGTATCATGAGCTTTTGGAAGACGATTTTATGAATTTGGTATCCCTTGGGACCAAACACAACATTGAATCATGACCTTATTTTCTGCTGATAACTCTAATGTAGTAATAATCATTGATTTTAGGTCATTTCCCAAGGAACAAAGAAAATTATATAATATAGGTATCTAGTAGGCCACACATAACTCTTCCACTTCCACACCTCTATGTAACAATGGCACAATCACTTTAGACCTAATTTTGGAGTGTCCATATCTTGAGGGTAAAGCGCTTGATATAATAGTAAAGGTTAAGGAATCAAGCATCTGGCAGCAGAATGTGGTTCAAGTATAAGGACAGCCACTCTTTGAGGTTGTGCCTAAAGGCCCAAGGTTGGGTACTTTGTACACTTTGATGGAACCACCACTTAAGATAAGTTTCTTCTACTTTTTTAGTTATTCAAATACCAATTAAAATACAGGATGAATGGCCGACTCTAGATGTATGGCAATTGACCAACCAAAAGGAACAATACCACAGTAGAAGAATACAAAGGAAAGATCACCAAGTACAGATGAATTTGCAATGGACAATCCACTTTTAAGTGTTCAAAAACTATGGCAGTACAGGGCACCACATCTGATCTATCTCGATCTCTCTCTCTTACACACAGACACAAGCACATTCATGAGTGGTACTGTTCAACGCTTCTTTAATGCATTTAACTTTTGTCTCATCTATTCATTTTTATGCATGTTTTGGATGTACACAGACAAATGTGGACCATTAGATTGTAAGTCAGAGAACAAGTTGGATAATAAGCTGGCATGTAGAAGTACTGAATGAAGATTGACCAGAGGATTACTCACTTATTTGAGCTCCCAGCCTTCTGCACACCTGATTTGAACAATCTGAATCACATAAAGGACAAACGTTAAATAATGAGATCAAATATCCTGAGAAACTTCCAAAGTTCAGATTAAGTGCACAACGATACAAACCGATTACTGAACATATCTAAAGAGCCAGCGATCATAATCCGTGCATTATTTCTAGCCTGCACCATATAAGAATTTTTAACAAATATGATTCAAGTTTGGTAGATCTCAATACAAAAAGTTAGCATTTATCCACTTAAAATATCCAAACAAAGACTTGGACCGTTGTCAACAAATATGATTTAACTATAAGTTTGGTAGATCTCAACCAAAAAGTAAGCATTTATTCATTTAAAATAGTGAAAGAAAAATAAAAAATAAAAAGACTTCGACCTTTGTCAACTATAGTTAAAGTTCCAAAGTGAAACCACATAAAAAAGAAATTGGTGCAGGAAATGATTAATGCAAATGCAAACCATTCATGAATTACTTAATTCAGTTATGGGCAAATAAATATTAGATGGTCAAAGCACCCAAAACAAATGTTAAAGAATATGAAGTCCAGACATCCCTGCCAATAGAATTTTTTTTCCAGAAATATTTCACAAGAAATTAACTAAAAATGTTAAGATATAGGCATATAGCATTTTTTGATCGGCAGATATAGGCAAAAAGCATTACAGAGATCGCTTAAACAAACTCCAAGGCAGAAAGAAAAAAAACAACAAGAAATGACCTGCACAACTGAAACCAATGATATAGCAGATCCGGTAAGGGACGGAGGATTTGACAACTTGGATTTTGGATTAGCAGAATATGCAGAAGGAGAGGCTCCAAGAACTTTCATAGCCTACAAATTACATAAGATATCACAAAAGTGAATTCCTCAACACAAATCCACCGAACACTTTGAGTCACTCTATGTGCATGCTTCTAACTAGGAAATAAAACTAGATAAAGCAAAAGACAAACAAAAAGACCTTTAACCTTACCAAGTTATTGGCAGAATTTAATGAATGGCCAATCCCTTTGAAAAGTACAGGGGCCTGTTTCATTGAATATAGAATCTATCAGAAATGCAAGCATTGATTTATTGACTTTAGATGTTTAAGTTGAAAAACATATAAAAAGAAAGTAATGAATAGAAAGATAAATTATTATGAAAACGGTAATATCAAAATACAAACTGCGATAGATATGTACACCACCAACAGCAACTAGATACATGACCTTGAAAATTTTAGATAAGGCTTCAAATATTCTAAAGAGCAGTAGTCCATTGAGAGAGAGAGAGAGAGAGAGAGAGAGAGAGAGAGTACAGTAATACAAATTAAACCAAACTATTATAGTTGATTATCAAGCTGACCTCCATTTTTGCACTTCCCAACATCACATCAGACTGAACAAAATCATCCGAGGCAATCATTGTATGATCTCCCTCGGTGTCAGAGACAGCATAGTTAGTGTGATCGATAACCATGGCAGAGGGATCCTATATTGTTAAATAAACTTGTGAGAACCCAAAACAAGAAGAGAACATTCAATGATACGATGAATAAGAAATGAATGACAAAAGGAAAACACTAGAATTAATCATTCACAGAAAAACAGACAATTGAATAAGTCAGGTTGTAACGACTCATTTCACATTGAGTAATGAGTCAATGTACACATGGAATATACAAAAGGCAAAATGAACATCTATATCAAGAACCTCCAATATATCTACAGTTATATTCAAATCACCAAAAAAAATCTACAAAACAATATAACAAAAAGGGAAAATATTCTCTTGGCCAAAAAGACGATGCTAACGCCATTTATTTCAAAGCATACATGAAGCATTCGTTCTCCTCAAAAGATCTACAATTCATCTCTCTCCAAATGCATCGCACAATGCATAACAGAGCCACACCTCAAGCCTTCCTATTACCATTCCTCAAACATCTTCTATGCCAACAAGAAAAGATGACATAGAGCATTTCATGCATTAACATGAATTTCACACATAGTTATATAATAAACTTGGCTAACTGGATATGCTTGCTGGGTAAATATCCAACTGCGGATGTTGGATACATATTCCATACCCAAACCCAAGTATCAAACATCTAACACAAATACTTCACATTAATTATGAGAAAACAAACAAAAAATGGTATTTCATAGAATGCATGATATATAAATCTACTACTACCCAATAGGCCAATCCATTTCCTCATGAGTAAAAAGCTACCCAACGTAAAAGAAAATTTAAAAGTGGGCATTGATTGACATATTTGACCAAGGAGGTAGGGAAAATATTTTATCTCTCCGACTTAAAAGAGGGGTGCTAAATGAAGATGCAAGCGATTTCATTGGTATGTATTCAAATTGATAGAAAGAAAACGTAGAGCGATATTCAAATACATAGAAAGGACATGTGGATGAGAAAAATTCCTTACCATTCACAGTTGATGCCAAGGAAGAATAAGGAAAGGAGATGGAAAGAAAGTGATTTAATTTGAGTTCCTTCTCAATGCAATTTCCTTATCATCTCCTGATTCTTGCGACAGATTTGTTAGTAAGATCATCTTTTACATAAGGGATATCATAAAAAGTTTTTCCCCTTCAAATGTACCATGAGGAGACCAGGACTAGAGAGGAATCTAGGAAATTGCCGTGGGATTTTAGTTGCAACTACAAAAGTTGATAAGCTGATTTCCTGTGAAGTAAATCCAGAAAATCTAGCTGTCATTGCATCCCTCGAAATGTGTGGGGTTTGTTTTATTCTAGGAGGGAAGCTTGGGTTTGAATCATTTTCATTTTCTGGAAAACGGAGAACTTGTTCTGAAAAATTTCTCCAATAAAATTTTCTTAAAACAACTCACTTTCTAGGAAACTAAGGTTTTTGAATTCTTGAAAAATGTTTTTGCAAAAAAATTAAAACAATAAGTGGTTTTTGAATTCTTGAAAAATGTTTTTGCAAAAAAATTAAAACAATAAGTGTTTTTAAACTTTTTATTGTTTTTGTTTCCGAAAACATGAAAAATATGACTGATGTGAAATAGACCCCATTTCTTTTGGTTCCCTTAACTTTGATGTGGATCATTTGTAGATTAGAAAAAAAAAAACATATTTTATTTTGTCTATTTTGTATAGTTGGTTTTTGGGTGATGTCATATCATCATTGAATCAATTTTTTTTGACTTTGTACAATCATTAGAGTAGATTGATGTATTGATGGCATAGGTTGCTTTGTACCTTTTGCAAATCCTAAGTATTCAAGTGGAATCTCGCCGGTGCTATTTTGATATATAAATAGATACCCATTAGTTTAAAAAAATGCATCCCTAACGAAGAAGATATCAATAGGCTACTATTTATAGCAAACCTGAAAAGGTCACTCCAATTATTTGTCAGTATTACAATACTGTTCCTTGAGGTTGATTTCATCGCTACAAATAAGTTGGAACCATTGCTAGCAAACTCTTTACCTCCATGAAGGACACAACTATACAAAGCAGAGAAATCTCCACACACACACACACACACACACAAAAGCAGCAAAACTTTCACTGTTTCCAAATTGTGGAAAAATCTAGAACAACAATGAATTGTTTATATCCATTTTACTTCAAGCTACAACAGATGCCATATTAGCAAAGAATACTCTTTTGTTTGTATCTCAACCACAACTGAGAAAATAAATTAGGCAAGGCAAGTTCAATCAACTGAAATCACTTGCTGAAACACCTTCAACAACACACTAGTTTTTATATCGTCCACCTTCATTCACCTGAACATTAAGTTGTGGACCGATTCTTCCCAGTTGATGTTTGGACGGACTACAAAGACACGCTGTTGGAAAATGTTAGAAGTATTCAGAAGGGTGCCATATATTTAGTGGCTTCTACTGTTAGTAGAAAATAATGCAAAATTACGTTAAGGAGTCAAATATACTTTAAACTGTTTAGAATTTTAATTTTACGTATTTTTATTTGTAATGTTTAGGTGAATGGAGATGGACAATATAAAAACTGATGTTGTTGAAGGTATTTTAACAAGTGATTTCAGTTGTATTGAACTTACCTTGCCTAATTTATTTTTCCATTAACAGTAGCAGCCACTAAATATATGGTACCCTTTTAAATACTTCTAACATTTTCCAACAACGTATCTTTGTAGTCCGTCCAAACATCAACTGGGAAGAACCCGATATATTAAGAAGACTAAGAGGAGAGAAAAGAAGTTGCAACTGTACGATGAGCAATTAAGAGACGTAAAATTTGATAATAAAGGTGTGGCGAGATTGCTTAACGGTATTGAGTTGGGTAATAAACAGATGTGACTGGCAATCAGACAATACAAGTATAAAATTAATTGAAAATGTTCAATTGGACAAGAGGCTAAAGATGAGGTTGTGGTCACAAGTGTAAAGTAGTGAAGCAAGTAATCCAGAATAAGCAATAATGAATTGTAAAGCAACATTCCAGAAAATTGACAAAAATTATTGCATAACACATACATTTCACCTAAAAAAAACTAAAAACAAAATAACAACAAATGGAGTTGAGTCCACACTGACCTCATCAAAATCAACTCCACACTCAGCGGCAATGTTCCGGTTCAAATCAGAAGCATTGACATCAGCCGAGAGAATCAAATCATGACCCGAATCAACAAAGTCCAACACATCAGCCAAATCCAGCGATCCTCCAAAACCTGAAATCAATTCCACAAATCTCAACCGCTTTATCAGAAAAAATGCTAAACTATCAACACCAGGTGCTGAATAATAATAACCTAGAAACTTACGCTCAGTATTCGGCGCGAACAGAACGAGTCCATCGTACATGTACTGGCCGTATCTCTGCAAATTGATCTGCCGATCGTCGGCGAGCTTGAAATCGAGCTCGAATCCGCGATTCTGAAGAGCTTTGAAGAAGATCGAGTGCGAGGACTTGAGAGCAAAGTCGTCGAGCAAGACTAGGATGCGCCGATCGGTAGGGTTTTCGGGAGAGAAGGAAAGGCAGATGATTGGGAGAAATGAGAGAAAGATGAGAGAAGTGATGCAGAGATTCGCCATTGTCAGGAGAGATAGAGAGAGATAGAGAGAGAGACGATGAGGGTTGCAGACTTGAAGAAAGTCACCCCTCAGACTGGAGTGTATGCGTTGAAGCTGAGGAGTTGAAAGGTGGACATGGCGTCGGGCCGGGCCGTACGGAGGACGGCCTTGACTAGGGCCTGAACTATAATTCACAAATCCAGCCCAAAGTAAATTGATTAATTTGGCTGCTGCCTGCTCATTTAAGGGCCAAGTTATTTGGAACACAAGCCCAAGTTAATATCTAAAATTTTAAATTTTGGTTCAAATTATTTGATTCTTGAACAACACCGAACCATCACACTTGTTTCTTTTACAAATTCTGAAATTCAAGTTTGAAACTGCAGCACTGTCCTTTTCATTGATTTGATGACTTGCCATCTTTCTTTATGGGTATACCCATGTTGAGCTCAATATTTTTTGGAAGTTTTAGACTAATAAATATTAAATTCATGCCTTATCTATTTAAGTTTTTGAAAAATTGAGACCTTGAACAGTAAGATTGTTTTAAAATTTTCTTGTGACAACAATTTTAGTGGCTTGATAATTGAGTCACCTCTAATCATAGAATATTAATGTGTAGTATACTTTGATTTTGCCAACCACCATCAATGTCTCTCAGATTCTTCTTCTAGTAATTTGGGAGGGGAATTTGCACCGAGTAGGCGGGCCGAGCTAAGTGATGATTTGAGATGTCTTTGGGTTATGCAACCGGGCTGGTTCAGTTGAGTGTAGTCTTGGCCGAGGTCCTGGATTGATTCAATTGAGCCGGTCCAAGGTCTGGGAGTTGGACTGAGCTCTCTGTTAATCTCAGATATTGAACCAAGGCATCTATGATTAGGGGTGTTCATAATATCGCCGAAACCGTCGAAACTATCAAAACCGCACCGTCAAGGCAAATTCGTTATTATTTGCCAATCGAACCGCCGATTTTTGGTAAGAAAAATGACAAATTCTAGTGACACTTTTATCAATCCGTCGGTTTCTATTTTTCTTCCAAACCGCACCGACCCGCACCGCTATTAAATCATGTTTTATAAGATTCTAAAAATTCTTTTTTACTTAAGTTTGCTTGCTGTTCTATACCTTAGAATATAGTATTACATTACTGCTCGAGGGGAATTCAAAATGTCAGTAATCCAAAATAAAGTTGGATTCCAATTCACTTTTCAATCTTTCTTTTTTTTTGTGGCCATGTTGCAAACTTGCATCAGCTCACTTTTCAATCTAAATACTTTTCAACAGTAAACATTTTCAATATATTGTAAACCCCTGAATGATATTAATTTTATGTATTGTATTTGATCATTGTAGCTTCCATAGATGCTTGTAATGAACTGATTGCATAGTCATTGATATTATCATGTTGTTGCTACACTTACTGCATCAGAAGGAAGCTTCGCAAGATGCTTAACATCACGGTATCTCTCGTCTTTTTTTTACTCTTTGATTTAAGTTTTGTAATTTGAATTATATTTTTTATAAACCGCCAATCCGCCCGAACCGCCAAGGCAAATCCGCCATTATTTGCCAACCGAACCGTCAGTTTTTGATAAGGAAAATGGCAAATTCTAGTGACACTTTCATCAATCCGCCACCCGCCATACGCGCACACCCCTATCTATGATCATGCCTTCAACCGGACTAAGCCGAGCTGGGTGAAGCAACGGTCTGAGACCGAACAAGGTCAGCGGAAACGAATGGAGTTGGGTGAATCGAGCTAGTTTTTGAGCTCGACCATGATGATCGGCCGGAATTGGGACTGGAACTGACCGGGCTATGCCTAGCTCGGTGGAAATTGTTAGGTCCAATTAGAGTGCGAGAGGAGAAACCCGCCAATGGTGTGCGTCAATACCGTTTAGCAGTTTGGCCATTGTTGTTTGGCGGTATTGACACGTATACGTGTAAGGAATAGAGAGGGCAGTATAACCGCTCGTCCAGATGAGGACAACAGAAGTAGTGTGTGCAGAACCCCTGAGGTTGATGGCCAGCCTAGAAAAAGGAGGAATGGAGGACGTTGGAGGTAAGCAACCTGAACAACCCTCTCTCTCTCTCTCTAAAAAGTGCTCTCTTCTTCTTCAAGTGGTCTAACTTGATCGTCAGAGGGACTATCCGGCAACACCCCGCCGGGCAGCTCACCGTTTCTCTGTTTCCAGGTCAGACGTCGTTACGTGAAGCTTGAGTTTAAGGAGTACGGAGAACGGAGGATATTTCGTCCTCGTACAATTGGCGTCGTCTGTGGGAAGACTTGATACACAAACCTTGCTCTTTAAGTTTTTTCGATCGTTTCCATGGCTAACAACAATGAAACTCCACTGTCCGTCGTCGATGGTGTTACGCCAGACTCTGTTCAACGGAGAGAAGGCCCCCCTGCTATTCTAGCCATGGCGGGCCTAGAGACCTCTTTGAGAGGTGCGCGAGACAAACGCGCAAGGAGTACTGATCGCTCGAAGAGTCCGAAAGTCCGTCGACGGCGGGTGAAGTCGTATGCACAGCACTTGGAGCACAAACTCGAAGACCAGGACGTCCTTATTCGCCGCCAAGATGGCGGCTGAAATCGAGGTGCTGAAATGCCAGATCAGGGGGAAACGTGTTGCTGGAGAGGGCAGCCTCAGTGAGCGCACCCCGTCTCCTTGCTCTGGCAGTCGCCGCCAAGAAAGGACGCACTCTCTCTCTATCACCAGAAGCTATGGGGTCGGGGACTCCGACCCACAGGTGGGCAAATCTCACACTCACGACAGCACTTGCTGTCCCTCACGTCCATCGTCGACATCGCGATACTCCTTTTTCGCCCGTTTGGGAGACCTGAGGGATGTGTTGGAGGAGAGGGCTCGCCGTAGGGAGACTCAGAGATTGCCGGCATTGCAGAGGCTAAGCTCCCAAATCCGTTGTAGTGAGGAAGTGGCAATGCTGGCACCTAGAGTAGTGGCCTCAGCGCTTGTGGACAAAGAGTTGGCGAGACTTACAACTATACTGCTGTCTCTAGAAATCGAGAGTACACCACTCCCTGCCGGATTCTACCAGCCTAAGTTCACGTTGTACGACGGCAAGACGGATCCGTACATGCACGTGAGTCATTACTGGCAAGTAATGGCTGGACATCGGCGCAATGACGCTTTGATGTGCCTCATATTCCCAGCAAGCTTAGGAGAACTGGGCCTAAAATGGCTCGAAAGGCTTCCGGAGGAGAGCATAAAGGGATGACAACAGTTGGCAGAGGCATTTGTTACCAGATTTAAGACAAACGCCAAAACACCCAAGGAAATTGACCATCTCTTGAGAGTAAGGATGTCTCCAGAAATCGAGACTACACCACTCCCTGCCGGATTCCACCAGCCTAAGTTCACGTTGTACGACAGCAAGACGGATCCGTACATGCACGTGAGTCATTACTGACAAGTAATGGCTGGACATCGGCGCAATGACGCTTTGATGTGCCTCATATTCCCAGCAAGCTTAGGAGAATTGGGCCTGAAATGGTTCGAAAGGCTTCTGGAAGAGAGCATAAAGGGATGGCAATAGTTGGCAGAGGCATTTGTCACCAGATTTAAGACAAACTCCAAAACACCCAAGGAAATTGACTATCTCTTGAGAGTAAAGATGGAGCCAGATGACTCTTTGATGGCGTATAACGCTAAGTATTGGGAGACTTTCAACGAGATCCTTGATTGCCCAACCAACCTTGCAATCACTCAGTATAAACGCGCTCTTCTAGTTGGACATCGACTGAGAGACTCGTTCACAATGAATCAACCATCGACCATGGACTTGCTCACGCAACGCATTAATGAGCACATCCGAGTCGAAGACGATATAGCCGCAGCTACTGTGACGGCAAGTCCGGTAGTAGAGAACAAGAGAGTAGTGCGAAAGGTTCACGCAGTCGGACAAGATGATGGCCATGCAAGCCACCATGGAAAAGATATAGGGAGTTCGATTTTAGAAAGACGTCTGTAAGAAGACCAAGGAAAAGGGGCATAAAACTCGCAGTTTGTAAATGGCCGATCCATTTCTAGAACATCAAGCACTGCCAATCTAAAGTTTTGTTCTTGGTTCTATTTTTGTAACCCTTTTTGCCATTGGCGCAATGAAACAAGTAAACCATTTTCTTGAGAATTGTTGTATTTTTACCTCGCCAAGCAGATTTAGTGCGGTCCTAGGGGCAACTAACAATCATTTTGATGGAAAGATCAAAATTCCTTGCCGTATAGATTTTGCTCGGCAAGAGGTTTGTTGATGATTTTATTAACTTTGGAATTCCTTGTCGGATGGATTTTACTCGGCAAGAGGTTTGTTGACGGTTTTAATCAACTTTAGAATTCTTTGCCGAAGCTGATCTTGCTCGTCAAGAAGCAAGTCGCCTAGTTGACCTTGGAGTTCCTTGCCGAGCTGATCTTGCTCGCCAAGAAGCAAGTCGCGGAGCGGACCTTGCTTGCCAACCTTTGGACTTCCTTGCCGAGTTGATCTTGCTCACCAAGAAGCAAGTCATTGAGTTGACCTTGCTCGCCGACCTTTGAGTTTTTTGCCAAGCTGATTTTGCTCACCGAGATACAAGTTGTTGAGATGATTTTACTCACCAAGAAGCAAGTTGCCGAGCTGATTTTGCTCACCAAGAAGCGTTGCCAGATTCATTTTGCTTGTCAAGGTGTAAGTTGCCGAGCTAACTTTGCTCGCCAACGTTGAAATTCCACGCCGAGCTAAGCTGATTTTGCTTGCCAAGAAGTTACCAAACCAATTTTACTTGCCAACTTTCAGTGAAAAACTGATGATTTATTCAGTCGAAGAGAATTCCAACCGAAGAGTGAACACGGTCTAGGGGCATCCCATCTAGTCTGGGTCACTGCTTTCCTAGTGTAAGTTTAAAGTAGGAGCCCAGTCTGGGGGGAAAGCAGTAAGGTTGATCTCAATGACTTGATCTTTGCCAAAAAAGATCTTTGCTCAGCAAGATAATAGATGATAGATTTTATCAACTTTGGAATTATCCACCGAGTGGATGTTGCTCAACCAAATAAGTTGATGACTTGCTTAGCTCGAAGAGTCGGTGAGCGGATGTTGCTCGGCCAAATG